TGCTGTGGTGTTTTGTGAAATGCTGTTGTGTTTTGTGAAATGCTGTGGTGTTTTGTGAAATGCTGTTGTGTTTTGTGAAATGCTGTTGTGTTTTGTGAAATGCTGTTGTGTTTTGTGAAATGCTGTTGTGTTTTCTGAAATGGTGTAGCGTTTTCTGAAATGCTGTTGTGTTTTCTGAAATGCTGTTGTGTTTTCTGAAATGCTGTTGTGTTTTCTGAAATGCTGTTGTGTTTTCTGAAATGCTGTTGTGTTTTCTGAAATGCTGTTGTTTTTTCTGAAATGCTGTAGTGTTTTCTGAAATGCTGTTGTGTTTTCTGAAATGGTGTAGCGTTTTCTGAAATGCTGTGGCGTTTTCTGAAATGCTGTTGCGTTTTCTGAAATGCTGTTGTTTTTTCTGAAATGCTGTGGTGTTTTCTGAAATGCTGTTGTGTTTTCTGAAATGCTGTTGTGTTTTCTGAAATGCTGTGGTGTTTTGTGAAATGCTGTTGTGTTTTCTGAAATGCTGTGGTGTTTTGTGAAATGCTGTTGTGTTTTCTGAAATGCTGTGGTGTTTTGTGAAATGCTGTTGTGTTTTCTGAAATGCTGTGGTGTTTTGTGAAATGCTGTTGTGTTTTCTGAAATGCTGTGGTGTTTTGTGAAATGCTGTGGTGTCTTGCACTTCCGGGCCACCGTAGTAAGGGGGAATTTGTCTCTTTGTCCTAAAATATAGCAAACAGTAAGTTGCTGATATTTTTTTGATGTAACATTTATATTTTTTCAATGAGAATAAGTAATATTTAATAAAGTAAACGCTCTCAATAGTTGCTGACGCTGTCTGTGGTTCTGAGCCCCAAGTTGGTAACTGCGCAGAAGAATATCTCAATCAAAGATGGATTTGATTGTCCCAGTGGTTAATATTAGTTTTGCATTCCCTCGTTTGTTAGTATTAGACTTTAATCAAGCTTATAGTTAGGGCTTGCTAAGGCTAGACTTGAACGAGCCCATAGTTATGCTGCAAGAGGCTTAGACTGCCGGGGGACTTTCATCTCTCTATCTATGCACTCATGTCCCAAAGAATGCACGTTACGAACTCAGCATCCAAGACATGGGCCAACAGAAAAGCTCCTTCATTTATTACCTTGTTTCTTGGGGGCCTATAACTGTTGGACAGACAGACACAGGTAGACGATCCAGGGATGACACGACAGACATGGATTATGGGATATTTGTGTCTCTTGATCTGTGAGTGGACCTGAGATGGGTCCTGAATTCTTCAGGCTTTCTGTAAATGAATAAAGACAATTTGAAGATGCTGCTTCAGGCTGGATTTGGCCAATACATGTTGACCTTGTGCACCTCGTCTGAGCAGAGGAAATTGTCTGTCTGTGTTGTGTGTGTGTGTGTGTGTGTGTGTGTGTGTGTGTGTGTGTGTGTGTGTGTGTGTGTGTGTGTGTGTGTGTGTGTGTGTGTGTGTGTGTGTGTGTGTGTGTGTGTGTGTGTGTGTGTGTGTGTGTGTCAGTGTTTAAGGTTTCAGAAGTATTAAGAACGCAGCTCAGACCTGTGTGTTTGTCTCACAGAGGGGCTTTCATAGTCAAACTCCACTGAGATATGTATGGAGGCCATTATAACAAGAAACGCTAATGCAATTATGAGTATGTTTATCACAAAAATGATTTGTATTTGAAAAATAACATCTTAGAATATGAAAATAAAGATTGATCAAAATAATGATTATGAACCTAAAATAATGATTTATATCTCAAAATAATTCCATAATATCCCCAAAAAAGTAGAGTAGAGCAAAATATGGTTAGTATCGCCAAATAATGATTTAGAATTTCAAAATAATGATTTAATATAGCAAAGGAATTACTTACTGTTGTATTTCAAAATAATAAGTTGTATCCCAAAATAATGAAGAATGCTTTTGTTATGTTCTAAGTGACTTGGTAACTAAAGAATGACATAGTTTCTCAAAATAATGAGCAACTTTCTTCAAATAATGAATAACTTATTTTCACATACTGAGTTAGTATAGTCTGTCATAAAAATTACATAGTGTCTCAAAATAAGGAGCAATCTTCTCAAACATTATGAGTAACTTATCTTTACACAAAAAGGCTACTTTCTGCAGTTCAGTAAGAAATAGTTGTGAGAACTTCTAAATCTAAATCTGCAGTGAAAAAAAACCTAAAGCTTGAAGAAAAAACATTTCCATCATAAGGTAAAAACATGTTTGTGAAATATAAAGTAAGACAAACTCTGAATAAAATAAATACAAATAGTATTCCAGAATGTGTTACAACATAATATTTCCCATTTCCAGCTGTTGGTTTGGTAGCCATACCAACATTACATTATAAATGCATCCTTGAATACATACTGATATATAAAGCAAACACTTCTCGCCAAAGCGTCTTACATGCACTTCAATACTGTAGACATGCCTACAGGGAGCAGTTTGGTGTTAAGTGTCTGGCCCAAGGACACTTTGAAATGTTGACTGCAGGGACTGTGATCCAACCCTCTGATTGGTCGACGCTTATTTACCCCCTACACAACGGTTGTCAATACAATTTCCTTTTCTTCTTGCAACCTGTTGTTGGCCATGCTTGTTTGGCTTGCTGGCTACAAAAATGTTCAGTGACATTTCAATTAGCCAAAAAGGCTGAGGGGAACACTCTCAAAACAATCAGTAACTTATCTTTAAATACTGATTTAGTGACTTAAAAAGCGCCTATTATGCTACATGGGATTTTCCCTTTCCTGTAGTGTGTTATATACAGTATATATACAGTATGCATCACATATACAGTATATATACTATATACATATTTAGGTTTTTGTGCATGTATATATATATAAATAAATATATATAAATAGTCTGCAAAGCCTAAAATCCAAAAGGATCAACGGGACTCCTTTGTTTACTCTCATAACAACTGCTCTTCTATTGGCTAGAACTCAAACACATTGTACGTGATAGGCTTATGGGCAGGACACCTCTAAGTGGTGGACCAATCACAACCGAGCCGGCCAGCTAACCAATCAGAGCAGACTGGGCTCTGGTTTCAGACAGAGGGTGAAAAGAGGTGCTGCAGCACAGGCAGTATGAGAAAAACAAAGAGCTTTTTGAACATTAAAGCATGGAGACATGTTCCAGTAGAGACACTAAATACTAATATAAACCTGGAAATTAGCAGAATAGAGCTCCTTTAAAAATAAATGAGTTAGTATTTCAAACTACTACGTTTTTATCAAAAATACAGAGTAAGTAGCTCAAACATACTATATAATAAGACATTATTTTGTGAACATTTTTTATTATATTGCAAGAGTTAGTCATTATTTGGAGAAAGTTTGACATTAAAATGACTAACTGAGGAACTTTTTTTTCATCACATTGGCAAAAAAGGGCTTCATAAGACAATGTTTTTTGTGACAGGAAGGAAACAACAGTACTTTGAGTTTCAACCACAATGTGGCACAGGGTGTGTGTGTATGTTAGATTGGCATTAAGATGGTTTGAGTCAACTATCAGAGTTGAATAGCAGCTGCATAATGTGGTGTGTGTGTCTGTCACTTTAAACTCGTCAAGAACACTGTCTTGCATCACCACCACGTGCAAAATGTAAAACTCTGACACCATGCGAGGCCACGCTCTAACCACACACTCGAAGCCTCGCCCTATATCCAGCCACTCCTGTCCCAGATGCCTTCTGCTCTGATGTATAATCGCTGAAGAGAATCTATAGAATGTAGTTGGTGGAGCTTCATTGATTTACCATGCAATGATATGTGTGTTTGAATATGGCCTGGGATCATTTTCACATACAAACTGAAACGCTTCCCCGTATATCACATCTCTTTAAACAGCTTTTCCTCATCACCATGATCACACCGTTGAGTGCTCAAAACCATGCAGCACAGTTTTACAGGAAGTACATCTTGATCTGATTGTAGATTTCTCCTTTTACTCACCAAAATCTTGCATTTGATAATGTCTAATATGCATTTTTAAATGTAAAATGTTGACATTTTAGTAGTACGTACATACACTGATTTCTGATTATTTGAGTGAAACAAAGTTGTTCTGTCCCATGACTCTAATATGCCAACACATTAAACTAAAGCGTCCTCAAAAAAAAAAAATGTTGTCACAATAAAAAGCTGGTATCCCACTTTCAACATTTGTATATTCAAGATTGGAATCTAGGTTGAATGCAAATGAAATCTTTCTCGGAGGGGGATTGGGCCAGATCTGTACATGTTCTCTCTTCCTCAGAGAGTATGATGAAACCAGTTCAGCTGGTTTGGCTGTCTGACAGGAACAACTGAAATGAACCCTTAGTGTTAAATTACTCGCTACTGTATTATTGCTGGTGCTTCTTTGTTGTTTTATGTAGAGATAACTCTAGGCTGGAAAAAGGAGTCTTTTTTATTATGGTCCTTGGTCTTGGAATGACCTTCAATCAAGCCTAAAACTGAGGGCACTTGTCTCAATAGTATGTTTTAAATTGAAGTTGTCTGAAGTCCTCACCACCAGCTGCTCTTGCAGTAATAAGTAGTGTACCTTACTTACTGTCCTAATGTGCACAATGTAGTGACTGCTTTTTCGTCTTTTGTTTTCTTAGTTATGTTCTCTGTATTTTATATGTTTGTGTTATGTGTTATGTGTAACGTTGCTGCCTTCTTGGCCAGGTCAGCATTGAAAATGAGATTTTATCTCAATGCTTTTATCTGGTTAAATAAAGGTTAAATAAAATTAAAATAACACCAAAGTATACTTTGGTGTTATTTATTTTTATTTTTTCCTAACAGGGACGGATCCCTCAAATCCAAATCAGACAGGAGTTGTGGGATTAGGTGTTTAGTGAGGGGTAGTACCGCTTTAAGCCGCAAGAAGGCGGTAAAGCCACGAAGTGATGCGGGCTCTGATGAGGAGGAGACGCCGAGCAGGGGCTGGCCTTGAAGGAGGAGGGCCAGCGTGACAATTTCCATAGTGTCTTTGTACCCAGACATAGTAGCGTGAAAGCACGCTGCTCTGAGTCAGACGAGCAGACACACCGCGGACTCCTCGTGGTTGAGCCCGGTCGGCATCACACCGCACACCCGACCGACGGAGAGAGGAAGAAGAGACCTGCGACACACCGAGAGTCGGGAAAGCGGGAAGCTTTGTGTCCCCCAAGTGAAGAACAAGAAAGAGGAAACTCAGCTGAAGATGTCGGAGTTAAAAAAGAGAAACTCGAACTCCTCTGCGGACAGGGAGGAGGACAAGCAGGTCACGGAAAAGATGCTGTCTCCGGGCGGGGAGACGGGAGAGTCGAACCGGGGAGGAGCACCGGGAAGTGAGCCAAGCAGCCCCAACCACACCGCCGGAGGAGAGGGAGGAGAGGGAGCAGAGGGAGGGGTCGCCCTGAAGAGGACCATCACCCTGTTTAACGGTGTGGCTCTCATCGTGGGGACCATCATAGGCTCGGGCATCTTCGTCACCCCAACCGGCGTGGTGAAGGAGGCCGGCTCGGTGGGTCTGTCCCTGGTGGTGTGGGCGGTTTGCGGGGTGTTCTCCACTGTCGGAGCCCTCTGTTACGCGGAGCTGGGGACCACCATCAGTAAATCCGGAGGCGATTATGCCTACATCCTGGAGGTGTACGGCTCCCTGCCGGCTTTCCTCAAACTCTGGATCGAGTTGCTCATCATCCGGCCGTCCTCGCAGTACATCGTCGCCTACGTTTTCGCCACCTACCTGCTGAAGCCTCTGTTCCCCGAGTGCCCGGTGCCGGAGAACGCGGCCAAGCTGTTGGCCTGCCTCTGCATCCGTGAGTATCCGAGCCATGCTGCACGGGATGATGCAACTTTACGTGACTGATGTGGGCAGCCTAAAGAATACACACGAGTTACACTTCCTGTGTTTTATTTTTGCAGGACATATTAATACAGACATATTTAATAACCTACTGCTACAATTCTCACATAGTTTACATCAGCAGCATCTTTGCGTTATTTCACGCTCCACGGGTGATGCCAGAGCCACACATGAACACATACATGTCCAAACAATGCCGCATGTATGGAAGGCCAACAGTGGTAAAAATGCCGCGTTATTTCATCAGCTATCATCACTAGATAATTGTCTCATTAAGTTATGCCCATATATTCTCAGTTAGTTATTTATAATTTGTGATATTATACTTTATCGTTTTGTTATAATTATTTTATTTATCTCTTTTTCACTTTCAAAACTGAGATTTTATTCTTAATATTACAGAACATAAAGTGGAAAGGTTTTGAAATTAAATGTATTATAATATGAATAAAATTACAAAAGTGAATTTGATGGGCACATATGTTGAGTTTAATTGGTAAACTCTTCAAATTCAAAGAGAAAAATCTAATTAATAATTTCATTTTTCTTATATTCAAGGGGTAATTAGATTTATTACCTGAGACACACATTTTAGGCTACTAAATGCTCATATAACAATAGGCGCTTTCACACCAAGTACTTTGCCGTACTTAGTTCCCAGTACTTAGTTAATCAGAACTCTTTAGTTCTGATGAACTAAAGAGCAGATCGCGTTCACACCGGAATAAGTCCCTGAGGGAGGATTAGGCAAATGAAGCCGCTGATGTCACTTCTTCTTCTTCTTCTTTGGGTTTACTGGCAGGCCGTAAACAACTTCACGGCATATACTGCCACCCTAATTCCCCGGCCGGAAGTCCCCGGAGTTGGGGACTGGCTTCAGTAGAAGCTGCTGGGACTCCCAGCAGCTTCTACTGAAGCCTTCCGAGTAAATCGCCAGAACGCCGACACCTGCTCATCACTCCACCGCTCCCATGTTTTCTTTTGTGTTGCCATAAGTTAGTCTCTCTCCGTTGGTGCGCTGGGCTAATGCTAATGCTAATAATGCTAATGCCAGCAAATACCATGGCAGCTTCACAAAACTTTTCCGAGTTTTACGGGGCGTGGTTTGCAATCCGCCCAGCCAATCAGAAATGGGAACCTTTTTCTCCCATGAAAGTACCTGCTCTCTAGCAGGGGGTGAAAAGGTTCTCATGAACTAAGTTCTAGTTCCGGATTTTTTTGGTGTGAACGCAACATTTCAAGAACTATCGGAACTATACTGGGAAAAGTACTCCGGTGTGAAAGCACCTATTGTTCTCTGCTTTATATTTCAGGATAACTATACATTAAAGTGGACCTATCATGCTATATTTGAATAATATAGTGTAGGACCATACCTATATAAGGCATATTTATACTTTTTTTTTTCAAAATACCAAACAGATCATGCATTTTAGCCATGCCTCATTTTGCTCAATTTGACCATTTCTGGCTCTGTTTTTGCAAGGGCTGATTCTGTGAGAACAGCACCATCTACTGGCCTGGCATATGTACTACAGCGTCTCCAGTGCTTTCGAACGGCAATGGCCGTGGCTGTCTCCTCCTGATTGGTGGAGTTGGCCCAATAGCCGTAGCGCCACTGTCCTGACGTCAGGACAGTGTTCAAATCTGGATCAGTTTTTATCAGATCCGTTGCAGCCCCTTTTTTAGAGATTTGGGTATGGAGGAAAATAGAGAGGGTTGTGTTTTCTGACACTTGGTGAGTTCCCTGGAACACCGGGGACACATATTCATGTATAAAAGACATACAAAGGTGCATTTTGCATGATAGGTCCCCTTTAAGATAAAACAGAAAACAAATGAAAATTAGGTTTTATGTGTAAAATAGCCTATCACAAATCAGTACATATGAGAATTTAACTAAACAAACATTTATAATGTAGTCAAAGCAGCCAATTAAACCAAAACTATGCTGCTGTGTTTAGGGTAAGTAGATTTTTTGTAGCAGTTCAGTTGTGAGCTTAATACAATGCCAGTAAATGTCAGTGTTTTTCAACTTAATTTCGATGGAGTCTTAACAAGATTAACCCTGGATTATTTGCTGCTTAAATTGATCAGCACCAGTCTCAGGTTGTTTTTTGACTGTCGGCGCCACACAACAGACACCCCCTCTTTCCCCTTGCACACTGCATCTCTATCCGAATACATGATCACACATGACATTGTGCGTGTTTGTATATAAATGTGTGTGAGTGCATGGGGTGCCTGCTAGTAACCCTAGTACCTAATCTTCAGATTGACTAAAGGCTAAATCCTGACTAAGACCACATGACAGAGCCGTAGACTGAGGCTCAATTATCTTTGTGTGCGTGCGTGTGTGTTCACAAGGATTGCACGCTTCGTTGTGCATGTGCATGCCTGAAGTGTAGGCGGTGGGGTTGTCAGGGTCACCAAATCTCCACACACACACATATATCTACAGCTCCATAGGTCTATTTTGGTGAGAGTTATTGTTCCATTTGACCTGTTTCTGTCGGAATCTGTGTAATTGAGATCAGTGTGTTTCTGTGTGTCCGCTCGCACATGTGCATATGTTTGTACATACATGTACAAGTATATATATATATTATATATATATATATATATATATATATATATATATATATATATATATATATATATATATATATATATATATAGCCAGAGGTGTTTGTGCATGCCTGTGTAAATCTGGATGCATATCAAGAAATGCCTGTCCATCCCTTTACTGTACTCAGGCTCTCACTTTGTCCCAGTCTCTTTTCAACACAGAGCCTCATTGTGCTCTGTCTCGTCTTTCTGTTGTGGCCCCCGACCTGATTCAGGAGCTTTGAAGGGACCTGCTGCTTTAGTTAATCACTTTTTATGGCGCCCAGTAAATGGGGCTGCTTCAGCAACCTTGTTAGTGTGTGTGTGCATGAAGGGGTGGTTACCAATTCTGTACATGGTGGGTAAAAGAAAGAGGGGTGGAATTTATTCCACCAAGAATTCTAAATCTTTGAGTTTTCCTCCAGCCCCCAGCATGCTTTAGAGCATGTTGAGGCTTACGTTGCTTTATATTTGCGGAAAAAGAAGGTTCAAGGAAACATTGTGAAAAGCTATTTTAATAGGGTGGTGTAGTGATGACCTATTTTTGTAGGCCGACCAAGAAGTTGACACAAAGCGATGCGATTTTTACATTGGACTTTAGATTCTAGACAAATTTAGGGTCTGTGGTAAACACACGTTTATTTTACTTAGTTGTTTTATTAGGCATGATAATCTCTACATATTAACCCCACTTTAATGATTTAAGGAGAGTCAATTCAATAGACATAAGAAATTTGCTAGCGTTAGGATATAAACAAACTACATGACGGTGATATTACTTCACACCAACACAGCTGAGCTAAACGCGGCTAATGTTTGGCGTGATGATGTTTAATTGTCTCAATTAGCCACTTGTTAGCACCCGCTGTTTTTAAGATGCGTAAACGTTTCGGACATTCACTAGTGCGGTGAAAAAATTGTGAAAAACTATGAAGCTTGTGTTAATTACCTTATTTCAGGCATTTCCCCAGAAACTCATTAAAAAAACCATTGACTTTGAGACGAACAAACCCGGAAGTGCTAAAATGCCAACTCATTTCTGGGTTTAGGACTTATTCTTGCACCATCGTTTAAAAGAATAAGAAAAGATAGTTATTCGTTTTCACGATAAAAAAACAAACAAGTTTGCTGCACAGTTTTCCACAGACGAATTGATTGAACATGATGGATTGAATGTGGTTAATGGTAGAAGCCACCAACCATAGAGCTTCTACCTACAGTGTTTCTGACTCGCTGTCTTTTTCCCTCTCTTGCAGTCCTGCTGACTTTTATAAACTGCTACAGTGTGAAGGCGGCTACCAGAGTGCAGGACTTCTTTGCAGCAGCCAAGCTCCTGGCCCTGGGCATGATCATCATCATCGGCTTCATCAACATTGGACGAGGTGCGTCACACATACACCTTCATTCACACAAACACACATTCACAAGGTTCCATACAAGGGTCATAAACATCACTACAAGTGGGCTGGAAGCAACCTCTAAGATTAGTATAATAAAGGTTAGTATTCTTGGTAAATTCACTTTTTTTTTTCAGATAGCATGAAGTAGAAAAGGTCGCCGATGCTAATGTAGCGTTAGCATTAGCATGTCACCCTGGGGGCATCCAGGCTTAAACGGTGTTATAGAATGATCACACCGGTGTGACAGTACTCTTCAAAGGGTTCACGAAATATGACTACTACTCTTACTGTTTAATATTTTGGGTTACTTCATGTTAAGGCTAATAAAAATGAAAAGGCTGTAATGCTAACTAACGTGCTCACTTACGCGACTCTGGGATTTGTAGTCTTCCTAGTTGCGTATTTTTCAGTCTTTCAGTTCATGGCACAATCCAAACGGGATCGAAAGATACATTTTCTCTCCCCATTGACTTCAATACATAATTTTTCCGAAATAAGGTCCCATGCGTCGGAAGTAGATGGGCGGGACTTCGCGTCTCTATGATTTAGTAATAACACTCTGATGGGGAATCCTTCACAGGAATTTGTTAGTTAAAGGCCTTTATTCATCACTCACCCAAAAAATACCTTTTCTTTTTTTATGTAATTTAACCATGGAAGCAATAGTCTCAAACACAACACAGGAGTCAAAAAGAGAAATCTTATTTATTTTATAAATGTCCTTAACTATAGGAATCCGGAAGGCTATGATGGCACTTTTGATGCCAATTTGAACCCTTGTTTTTACTGTTTATCTGATCAAAGTTTGGCAGTGTGATCTGAACAGGGAATGTTGTCTTTGTTGGATGAGAGCAGGGAATCAGTGGGAGCGGAGAGGCCGGTGTTTGGCTCTCTGGAGCGGGGCCTAACTCTCATTAGGGCCGCAGGATGTTGTGAAGTGTAGCCAAAGACTGGAGGACGGCACAGAGAGCAGACAAAAGCTCTTCAACAGAACACAGCCTGCTTTTACTGGAAATCTACGTATAAGTTGCAAGACGCTTTAGAAACACAAACACTCCAGCAGTGTGTTTGACCAAGCAACGACTTGCGGCCCATTCACTCTGAGTCGTCGGACCATTGAAGGTTTTCTTTAGCTGTTTTATAAAGTCGAAAACATCAGGAGTGAGCTCAGGAAATCAGACTGCGCACTGCAACTATCAAATAAGTATTAGAAGTAAAATGAGTCTTTTTTTTTTACTTTTGCAGTGTTTTTTAGGTATAAAGTTTAAAATAAATCGGGTTGTAAATAGAGTAGTGCAGGGATGACGTATTTTTGTAGGCCGACCCAGAAGTAAGCTGCGCATGGGTTCCCTCGACAAAAAAGCAATGCTATTTCTCCATAGGATTTTGGAATATTGTAAATAATAAGATCTGTGGAAAACGATAAATGTTGTTGTTTGATAAATGCACGTTTTGTTCAGCCGGATAATCTCCACATGTCTACCCTACTTTTATAATTTGCTAATCATAAATCGAATCGATAGATTATTTAATTATTATTATTTAAAGTAAAAGGGAAGTGGACAAGCACTTTGTTGAGCATACACGTGTCGGCATGAGATGCAAAAGACTTGCAGAATGAGTATAATCACAAAGCAAATAGAGTTGGAGATGTATTTTTGTTCAACAGTAAACTAATTTGTTGTTGAAAGATAGGAGTCACTGGGTTCAGACTGAGGGTGAGTTCACCACAGACTGAGCATGGATTGTAGAGCTCAGACATTTCATGTCTGGAGCACTGACTTCCCCTTTGACCTTTTACCCTTTGTCCTTACACCAGACATTAACCCTAGCCAAGCTGTGAGATTCCACTTGAATCTTCTGCTTTCCTGAAACCCTCACTTTAACATCAAACAGTTAGAGGGAAAAGAGGCCCTATTTGGGGTTTTCCCTTTCCTGTAGTGTGTTCTATAGGTTTTTGTGCATGTAAACGGTCTACAAAGGCTAAAATCCAAATGTTCCTTCCAGAGGGAGTTTCTCTCCCACACACAAAGGCGTTTGCCTGAAATGCCTCCATTGGCCTCCTTTGTTGATTTCTCTAACACAATGACATCACTACAGTATGTAACATTCGTGCTTCTATTGGCTAGCACTCCAACATATTGTACATGATACGCTAAGGGGCGGGACATCTCTAAGCAGATGACCAACCACAACAAAGCTAAAACTAACCACTCAGCGCAGACTGGGCTCTGGTTTCAGACAGAGGGTGAAAAGAGGTGCTGCAGCACAGACAGTATGAGCAAAATAAAGAGCTTTTTAACATTAAAGCATGGAAACATACTAAATACAAATATGAACCGGAAAATGAGCAGAATATGTCCTCTTTACAAAAATAGTATTCAATTACTGAATACTAATTGGAAATGATTTATTTTTGCATTTGAAGATTGAATGATTAATGTACATGATTTATACAGAACAGAGGTAATGCAAACAAGTATTGTTTTATAGTTAGGGCAGTGTTACTGTGTCTATTGTTTCAGAACTTTAATTAACTGCTGCATGTTCAGAAGTAGGTCAGCTTTCTGTAATCCATCATTTAATTCCTGGCAGCATTAAAAGTTCTCAAATTCTTAAATTTGCCCTCCTAAAACCTTCCTGTTTTGTTCAAATATGAAACAACGTTTAGCTTGCTGCTGGCATTATATTCAATGTGATGGTACCCTCTTTTTGTCACTAAGATTATACAAACCAGGACCCATTAGGGCTAAAAGACAAAAGAAGTAAATGCTTGAAAAAGCAAACTCCAAGCTCAGTCCTCCATCACACACTAATGCATTGTGGTTTGTTTGTGCGGAGGTCAGAGGCCACAGGTCTCATCAGCTGACTGGTGGGCACACGGGAGCTCAACACTGACTAGAATTGTTCAGAAGTGGACCAAAGAGAGGGAGGGAGAAAGGGAAGGTGGGGGTGAGAGAGAGGGAGGGAGGTTTGTATTGTACACAGAGAAAAGGAGAGATAGAGTGATAGAAGGATGTGGTTTCACAGATCAGAAGCACAGGAACAAAGATCAAAGTGAAACCGTCTGTAACTAATGTGATGAGCATTGATTTAGATATATATTTCATTCATCCCAAGTTTGGAAATTGTTTAAGGATTCTACAGTTGACCCATCCTGATATTAAGAGCAGTGTGTAGCTATTATGTACAGCTATTATATTCTGCTTCCTGCTATTTCAGTCAATATTGCAATTCGAGTCAATATTGCAATTCGATAACATTTAGATGATTTTTGCAGACCTAGTGGCGAGACGATACTTTACCGGAAGTGGCAAAATGCCAATTAATTCACGGGTTTTATGACTCATTCCTCCACCACTCTAAAGTTAATGTCAGAGATTTTTTACACACCGATAAAGTGGATTATTGGAGTTTGGTGAAGTAAAAAAAATCCAATTGGAGTTCTTAAAATCACATACTATAAATCTACAGTCAACCTCATGGCCAATGTTCATCATAGGAGTGACTTTCAAAATAATCCTAAAACCTGTTTTGGCTATATTTAACGCAGAGTTATCAGTTTAATAAAGGTAATCCTTAGTTTTGGCCCCTTTTGACAATATGAAAAACTGCCTTCTTATTTGTGTCATCCCTACATTTTTCATTTTCCCATGAAGCATGGCTGTAACCTTTTATATTATTTTGAATCTTCTTTGACTGCAGTTCCAGTAAATCAAGTTAGAAACTGATCCTCCCTCTGGTAGTTATTTCTCCATGAGAAGCAGGAGCTATATCCACCTTTTATTCTCTGACTCACCTTAATCCATATCAATGTAATGCTAACCTGCTCGCCTCATACGGGTTGGGGTGTGTTGCTGGAGACTAAAGAGGAGTTCAACTCATTTGTAATTCTAGTCCTTTACTGCGCTATTTCAAAAAGGGAGCTTTGCTAACATATTTAGCATCATGGCAATTCTAAATCTTTAACACCAGTCTTTTTCATCACATTGCCTCTAATAACTGTTTATCTGAAACACCTCAGATTATCTGGATTTAGACAAAGACTGGGTGTGTGGCTGTGATTACTCTAACACACTCACCTGAGAGGTGTCTTCTCTGGCTGCTGTTAGCAGCTGGAGGGAGGTTACTGAGTGATTCACAGGTCTGTTTTAGGATCAGGGATCGCCTTCAAAAACACTCAGTTTCAATTATTAAATTATCATGAATTTATTTACGTATTGGGACTAGGGCTGTCCCGAATACCATTTTTCGGGCTCCGGATATTCGGTCGTAAACAGCAGCGAATATATTATTAGGATTTTTATTTTTGGAAAGTTTACCAGAGTTTATTCTTCAATAAATCATTTTTGTCTGTTGAATTGAACAACATCTCCGTGCATGCTTTTTAGAAAAGTGTGTCACACATCTTCACATACAGTAACATCAGATGGCTTCATAAAAATAAAAGATGAGGATTTGCCAGTACATCTAGTTCTGTCTGCCTTATTGCTCTGCAGGCAGGGTTACCAACCAGAATCCCAAATATGGGCCAATATGGGAACACGCACCACACAGCCTTTGGAGGGGGGATTCGGCCCGCGCGCGCGTGCGTAGTAATCGGCAGCGAACCGCTTCAACACATGTATTTCGGTTTACTCACGGCATTCATTTTGTTATTCTACAGTATTGTTGTTTTATAGTTATTTGTTAATGTGTATAACCCAATTTGTGTTCTTTGAAATTGAAAAGGATATCACATTGTGTTTGTTACTTTCGTTGCAGTTGTATTTGTCTTAAGTGTAATTTGGCTTGGCTTCCTAATCTTTTATGGACATGCTTTTATTTTGAAGGAGAGTTAGCGCTGTTGACAGGAAGTTGTTGTTGCTATGGAAACAACGTGACGGAGATTAACGGAGAAAAGTCATATCTACATATAAAGACGGAGAAAGTAAACGATAAAGTTTATGGTTAAGTGTTAGCACCCCCCGAAGAGGCACAAG